ATTCAAAAAGACACACACATACACACAAAAAGATTCTATGGTCTGATGGGTCTGGAAAGTGCTCATACTAGACCCCCTCCCCTCTTCCTATTTATTTATTTATTTATTTATTTATTTATTTATTTATTTATTTATTTATTGTGTGTCTGTCTGTCTGTCATGCATGTGGTCAGAGGACAACTTTTGGGAGTTAGTCTCTCTGGGTCCTAAGGATTGAACTCAGGTCATCAGGCTTTGTAGCAAGTGCCTTTACCTACCTGAGCCATCTCACTGGCCCCAAAGATGATGTTTTAATGAAAACTATTTTGAAAGCTTTGGAAAGACTGGCTAAAGGCAATCACTCAGCAGTCAAAATGTTGTCTGTAAATTATATAGGTAAGTTAACTCTAAAAGGCTAAGGAAAGAATAATAAAATTCTAGATGGGTTCTATTTAAACAGTATTTTCAAAGATTTAATGTACTTCAATGGCAGCTGAAATCAGAAATCATGATGTATAATTATAGCTCCACATAAGAAAGATGCAAAAGAACGTGAATAAGCAAAGCCCAAATGTACTCAAAGGAAAGGGCCAAACTCAACATCAAAATGATGATCAGGTGTACACTTATATATTTTAAGTTATAATTTTGATTTACACATGTACACCCAGTACTGTCTAACCTCCTATCTAGAGTTTTGCTCAGAAACTTGCAAATATTAAATGAATATTTAATTCTAGAAGTAGAAGTAAGTTTCTAGGAGTAGAAGTAAGTTTCAAATGACCCACTGTTCTGAGTATCATGACAAAAATCCTCTGCTGCATTTGTCCCACCCTCATCTGAATCATCCCTTTGCCCAGTTATCTATGCTGTATATGCTACCCTCCTGTCAGTCACTTAGCACCCATTATCCAATGGACTGTTAAGCACTTGAACTTGACATAACCTTTATTTTACTTATTAACGGCCACAAAGTGCAAAAGAAGTGATACCTACACTTCAGACTTCCAGAGATACCGTAAACTACTTCCTTTAAAAAGGTGAAAGTTTTGAACTTAATAGGGAAAGGAAAAACAAAGTATGCTAAGGTTGCTAAGAACGCTAAGAACGCTAAGAACAAATTTTCTGTTCATGAAGTTAAAGGAAAATGAAATATGTACTAATTTTGCTTTCACATCTCAAACTATAAAAGTTATGACCACATATATAATTAGTTCAAACTATGAGAGGTAGAACTGTGAATATATGTGTTGAAGAAAACATCATATGCAGCGTTCACTACTATTCAGGCATCCCATGTAGGTACTGAAATACAACCCCATTGAGAAGAGGCACTACTGTATTTGAAGTCAGCCATCCATACCTGAGTTCTACATCCACAGATTCAACAATTGTGGATTGAAAATATTTGAAAAAGTTGGATCATGTGTAGACGTCATTATTCCTGAACAATATAAAATATAAACTATTCATAAACCATTTACATTGTAGTTGGTAATAAATAATTTAAAGATGATCTCCTTGTACATGGAACAATGTAGTAGGTTACATGCAAATACTATAACCTTTTATTTGAGGGACTTGGACAGCCTTAATTTTTGGCATTCTGGAACCAATCTCGTGGACTGTTAAGAATAACCATATAT